CAGGACAGGGCTGCTCGCCGCTTGGGGAATGGAGAACTGTGGAGCAGGGGAAGGAGCACTCCCGTAGCCTGGCTGCGCAGAGGGAGGAGGTAAGGGTGTCATTGGATGCTACCCTGTGCATAGGATTTGCCTGGGTTGAGAAGGGGTGTTTTCGTGTGTGTGTGTGGGGGGGGGTGGTGTTGTGAGGCGCAGGGTGGGGAGAATCTCAAGCTGTCTGCCTCGAACCCCCTTTGCATCTCCTCACCTCCTCCTGGGGAGGAATATGTGGGTGTGCGTGGCCTGTCCAACTCCTATTCCCTTTCTCCAAGCAAGGCCATCAAAGCCGAATCTGAACTTGAATTCTGTACGGCTGATTGCAGAGCTAGTAGGCCAACGATTTCCTTGGAAAAATGTAATGGAAGGGTCACTTTGACTTGTTTTCAGAAGATGGGAGAGGGAATTTTCCGTCTGGCTACAGCGGAGGCTGGGGGTGGGGAGAGAGGGAGAGGGATGAGGAAATGAGACTGCTTCTGACCCTTCTCTTCCCTGCCTTGTCCTCCGTGATGGCATAGGCTTGATGCCCTGAGGACTGGGATATTCAGTTCCTGGTGGATGAGGGTCGACCTACCCCGGAAGCAAACTTTCTTAGGAAGGGCACCTGTTGCAGAGGCTGAAAGTGAAATAAAGGCGCACACTTGTTTTTGAGCTCATGTAAGAATCTGAAAAATAACAGGGCAAACTTTGAAAAGGGGATGTGGTTAAAAAACCTGAGACCATGAGTTTAATGAAGATCTTATTTATTACCACAAAGCCGTGAGACTCAGACTATTGCATACTATTTTGAGAGCCCAATTCAGCTCCACACACTTTTTACGTAGAATTCAAAGCAACAGTTGCCTTTCCTCCTCCCTCTTGGAGAACTGATGGGAGGGGAAGGATGTGGCTCAGAAGGTTGTAATTGACAGTCTCCTCCAGGGTATTTTTAGGGCAGTGGGCAAATATAAAATGTGCTGCAGGACATTAAGGAAGGTAGAGAAAGCAACTGCAGACTGCTTCCCTGCACTCTGCTACTTTATTGACCTATCTCCCCCCGCCCCTTTACAGTTCCTATTGAGATACAAGGGAAGCACAGCCCGGGAACTGTAGTTCTGGGTATTCCTCCTGCAGACTAGGCTTTTCTAAAAAGCCTGAGCATCTTGTTATATATAGATGATCATTCTGTCATGGCTAGCATCATTGCACGTGTGGGTAATAGCCAGTGGCAGAACGCACCCTTGCGACCTTGAGCCCATTCCATGTTGAGGTCCCAGGAGAAGAGTCTTGGGCCTTTAAGGGTCAACATGGCAGAAAGAAACTTTAAGTTGTTTTCAGGGAGGATGATGCCAGCCCAAGAGGAAGAAACCTTTGAAAACTGGTTGATCAAAGTCGATGGGGTCCTGCCAGATTGGAGTACTCAGGAAGAAGAAAAGCTCAAGCACCTGATGAAAACCATTAGGAGCCCAGTCCAGAAGGTTTGCTCTAGGCAGCCAACCCCAGCCGTAAGTGTGGCAGATTTCTTGTACACAATAAAATTGGTGTTTGGGGAGTCTGAAAGCAGTGTCACTACCCATGGTGAATTTTTCAGTACTTTACAGGCTCAAGGGGAGAAAGCCTCCCTTTATGTGATCCGTTTAGAGGTGCAGCTCCAGAACGCTATTCAGTCAAGGATCATAACTGAGAAAAGTGCGAACCAGACCCCTGCACCAGCTCCTTTTGTGGGCTGAGCTGAATAGGGACATGCACTTCAGGCTGAAACATCTTCTCAAGATGTATGCAAATGAACAGGGCTGTCTTCCCAATTTCCTGGAGTTAATCAAGATGATAAAGGAGGAAGAGGATTGGGATGACAGTTTTATGAAATGGAAGCAGGCCAAGAGATCTGAGCTAATCATGGAGAGGACAGCCAGCCCTGTGGCATTTCAGGGCCCACGGCCTACAGTGATCAGCAGTGCTGACTGCAATGTGATCGAGCTAGATGATATCCTCAGTGACTCAGATGAGGATGTGATCCTGGTGGAGTCTCAGGACCCTCCATTTCCATACATGGCTGCCCCTCCCCTCAGAGGCAGGGTTAGACCTCAGGATCAAACGCTGGTCATTGATTCCCCCAACAATTCCTAGGCTCAGTCTCCTTCCACCAGTGGGGGCTCTGGGGATATGCGTAGATCCAGGAAGTGAAAATACACAATCCAATGTTCATATTTGGTGAGAAGGGCCACTCAAAGGAAACCTGTGACAATGAGAGTAACATGGCCCAAGTATTTGAGAATCTGATCATCACCCTGCAGGAGCTAACACATACAGAGGAGAAGAGGTCAAAAGAGGTCCCTGGCAAACACAATGACCCCTCTGAGCCACAGTAAGGAGTTACATCCAGCCCTAAGTGAACCCTTAACTATATTCAAAGACTGGTGATGAGAAAAACAGGCATGGAAGTTTGCATAGGCTTCTATCTGCATAAATTAATTCACAAAATAGTTTTCTTTGGGAAAGAAGAGGTCTTAGACACCAGCAAAGTAGAGGGAGTGGCCTGACCTCTGTCCCTGCTCTCTCTGTTTGCCTAAGGGTCTATTCTCTATGTGTCTATTTCCTTGATGACTTTAGTCCTTTTATAAAAAAAGTATAGTTACTTTTTAAACCGTCAAAAATGGAGGAAAATACAAAACTGTTAAACCATCAAAAATGGAGGAAAATACAAAAACTAAACTACAAATTACTTATATAAACATTGTCAGCCCTTTGATGAATGTCCTAGATATTTCCCTATACCTGTGTACCCAGATAGATATATGTATAGGTAAAAGTGATCAAATATAAGTGCTATTCGATACTGTGTATTTTTTTTCACCAAACAAAATATGTTGTGGATGTCTATATTAATGAA